ACATATCATTAGCCAAGCGCAACTCGTGGGCTGCTCGAGCAGTTGCCACTAGATGCATATAGATACATGTGCAGAGGGTCTGATCGTGGAGCTGGATTGCAAATAGATATAGAGATACAAATCAGATGGTCCTAACTGATACTGGATTATATACTTGCGAGTTCTTTGAGATCCTCCTGCTTGAGAGGATTCTGCGCTTGAGTATTTCAATATTTGAATGGAGCTTAAAAAGCTTGTCCACAGGAATAGCTAGAGTATTAAACATACAAATAGTCTGTGCCAGCGCGTGAGATTTGCCATAAACAACAAAATTTTTCATGGACTCTTTTAATAAAGTGGCAACGGCTCAACTTTATTTTATCTGCGCCCAAGCCCAACTTTTAAAGCGATTAAACAGCATTTAGCTCAAGGTGGCTGCTAAGTTGTGCATTTGAACTTTGCGCTGAGCTCTGCACTTTTTAAAGAGTTTTTTTTAGAGCTTAGGACTATTTGGGCCTTACTCTGGGATAGTAAAAATATAACTCATTTAATTGCGAGCAATAACAAACCATATAAATAAATATAAGAACTGACAACTGCTGCTCGATATGAACCAGCGACTTTCCGCTTGCTAGTTCGATGCTCAAAGAACTATGCAACGCAGGCTGATAATGTCCCATTTGCAAAGCATAATTAAATATCTGTGCTGTTTTTGATAATTATTATTACCACAGTTTTCCCTCGAATTATCCGACACCCCGTCTAAGAAGTCGCTTTGATTCAGCTTCGTAGGTTTAGCTATAGATTATTATTACTGAACTCAACAACGAATATCCGGGCTCGAGCCCCAGGCTAGTCTGATTGGCAATATGCTCTCTATAGATCTGCAGCTGAATTGCTTTATTATGTCCACTCTTCTATCCCATGTCCTTTAGTCCCTGCCATGGCATATATACTTTTGCCTGCTCAAGCGACTTTTGTGCAACTTTTGGGTCAACCCACGCTAATCTCTACACACAGATCCGCGCTGCTGTTGTGTATAGTCATGATATACCATCTTCAGCAGACGGTAGCCCAAGTAGTAGCTGTTGTGGCTTGCTGTCTATTGTTGTTTCTTGTTGTTGCTGTTGTTGTGGTTGTTGTTGCTATTGTTGTTGTTGCGCATGAGCAGCTTTAGACTCAGCATCAGACCAAAAAAAAACCAAATGTTGGTTTTTTTCCCCCCTGCGCGCATTGCCAGTTACGATTTAACATTTCGCATATTGACAGAAGAGCAGGTTGCGGAGTTAGCGGGGAGCAAGAGAAGAACTTGGAATTTTGAATTCAGAGGAATTGCTTGCCACGGCGCAAGTGCAGCAGCAACAGCAGCAGCTGTGCAACAAAAGGAGCATTGGGGCGGCAGGCGTCATGCGGGGGCAGCGTATGCTTAAACAGATGTTGTTGTTGCTATTTTTATATACAAATTTATTGGCAACAAAAAAAAAAACAAAACAAAAAAAATAAAAACAATTTAATAGATTCCATGAAAGAATCGAGACCGCGACCAAGACTCCGCGCCGACTGACTGGCTGACTGATCCGACTTGGGACCTGATGTCTCTCACAAACTGAACTGCAGTCCCGCCCCCCGCCACATCCCCGCTGCTGCGCCGCTGCCATAGACGTCTTCAACTGGTTCCTGGGGCCGATGTTGACATTTGGGCAGCTGCTGGCTGACAGCTAATGAAATATTTAAGCTACCTTGCAGCGCCATGAGCTATGCAACAATCTTTTATGCCGTTTCTGCAACATCTGCTCAAGATGCACAGCTCAGGGGCGGGCAGAGAGTGGGGGCGGGTGTTGGACTGACCCAAGCCTCTGATCCAATTAACTGCTTATACAAAACACAAATGGCCAGACGAATAAACAGACAGCGAGAGGGGGTGGGAGAGAGAGGCAGAGCGAGCTGGGAGCGATGTCAGACATGGACAGCATTCATAGACATAGACATAGACATAGACATATGCCCGGGCCCAAGTAATAACAGTAAAAATCAACGCAAACCATTCGTCCTGATGTCGCAACGTTTTGATGTCCTTACGGATGCCCTGTGGCTACACTTCAGCACACACACGCACATGCACACACACATGCACACAGACAGACAGACACTGACAGAGCCTAAGTACCCCATTCCCCACTCCGCAGTCCGCAGACGCCTTCGCTTGGCTACCTTTACACATGCTTTTTCATGCCCTCGCCAGGGCTATCACAACTTTAACTTGACCTTTGTAACTATTGCCATGTGCTATCTCTCTGTGGTGGAACACTCATAAAACCTGGTATAGAGTTATTCTAGGTTCGTCTGCAGGATCTAGGCCATCTTAAAGGTTTTTAGCAAGCAGCTCTGCCCAATCCGAACTTTGCGAAACTTCATATAAACTTGCCATACGACTTAAAATATAGGGAGATCTGATGATATCGAGGCATAGATCTGATGGCTTTTGGTTTGTTATAAATTCCTATTTTCTACCTATGTGAACTCTCATCTATATGAAGCTAGGATCTTAGAACTTGTTATAGGTTTGTCCTATGAGTAAATATGAAGGATCTGATGATATCGGGGCAATTGTCTTTTAGATTGTTAAAAATTCCTATTTGCTTACTATGTGAACTCTCATCTCCATGGAATATTCAATATGTTTTGCTTATACGTTAGCTCCCATATGCTAATTATATAAGCTTGGCACAAGTTTGCCTTATGATTGTATATAAAATATCTGATGATATATAAGTTCTTTTCTCTATGAAGTCAGGATCTTTAAACGTGAAATAGGGTTTCTCTTATGACTAAAAACTAAAACCCGATGATATCGAGGAATTTGGTACAGATAATGGTTGGTATAGGTTTGGTACAGAGTTGTCTAATGATTAAATATGTTATAGCTGAAGGAATCAAGTCAATCGAAAGAGTTTTAATGCCGCGACTTGCCAAACATAAAGTTGTTTTGTGAAGCGTATATGGGGTTTAAGGGGCTTTAAGCTTCGTTCTTGATGGTTTGCTTTGCATATGCTGGACGCTGGATGACTTCTGTGTGTGTGTGTGTGCGTGTGTGTGTGTGCGTGTGTGTGTATGTTTATATAACTGTGTGTGTTTGATGGGGTCTGGCTACTAGGTATTTCTGACTGCCTTTTGCTTTTGACGTGCCCTGATGAGCCTGACGCTTTCGCTTTGACTTCGGCTTTGGCTTTAACATTGGGGTTGGCCCGCACATGTAACGTTATGTGCATAAAAAATAATCATAATCACTTGAAAGCCCGGCCAAAGCTAAATCCACAGCAGCAGCATCAGCAGCAGCATCAGCTGTGGTGGGGGCCTTAGAAAGGCAAATAAAGGGTTCGGCTTGCATGGGGCTGGCGACTTGGCCTGAAGCGCTTTGAGCACTTTGCCTTCACAATAAATAAAACATAAATTCGCAACAAAATAAAGCGACGGCCAACTGATTTTCACTTTTTCACGTAGCTGAGAATTGTTTACTGTGTGTGCTAGCTTATTAAAAATATGGCTAAGTGAATTTGGCACCAAAAACAGAGAACAAGGACAACAACGGGCGACTGTTTAAAATTCATAAACATGCAATAAAAAAGCAAACAGTCAACAAACGTGGCAACAGCCGTCAGACCTGCCATCAAACGCAGCAGGATGTCGGGCAGGTGTGTGTGCGAGTGTGTACGAGTGTGTGTGTGTGCGAGTGTGTGTGTGTTTGTTAGCCAGTAAATCAGAGCGTATGGCAATGACAGCCTCGTCATAGACAGCGGCCGCCATGACGAATGGCACAGCGCACAGGCCTCGAAAGCTGCCCGATGTACCCTGCCCCTGCTCCTGGCCCCCTCCAAACCAGTGGGGCAGTCGCATAACTCCGACTGCGGCGCCCCTCGAGGCACGGGTTTCTTTCTCTCTTGTTTTTTTCGCAGTGAAGTGCGCATTTGACAAGCCCAGTAAACAACAATTAAAATGACAACCGGGCCGAGAGAGAGAGAGAGAGAGAGAGAGGCAGGGAGAGAGGGAGCTAGATATGGGCGAAAGGATTTTTGAACGTTACGTTTTCTTGCCTTTGTAGCGGACATCCAAAAAATCCAACTGATGAAAACTGACAATGAACGAAATTGGACGACGTCAAGCTGAACGCAGCTGAGCTCTGCTGGCAGCGTATGCGAGTTCTGCACGAAATTATGGCCACAGGACATGCACACACAAAGCACCAAAGCACCAAAGCACCAAAATCTGCGCCTGGCCCGCAGCTACACACAATGTGGCAAACGAGGCAAAACAATGCCCAAAATGTAGCCAAAAGAAATGTGCGAAAAAAACATGGGACACAAACAAAAAAATACACTTTCCTTTAAAAAAAAAGAAAAAAAAATTGGTGGAGAGAGGGAAGCAAAAGAAGTTAACTATTCCAGGCAAATAACTTGAGGACATGACAATGCAATTTCGAGCGAACGCTCGAAGCCAATGAAAAGTCCATCAACGAATTGGCAATGCCCTCCCCCCAACCCCTGGGCACGGCACATATTGATATGTCATGCCAGCCGAGAGCAGGAGAGTTGATGGATCTCTTGCGAATCAGAGCAACGCGTGAATCACAGCAAGACTTGCAGCAAACTTGTGGCAAGAGGCAGCTGAAAGCTGCCCCTTGGATATTCCGCACGGAAAGCGAATTCCTCTGAGATCGAAAAGTAGAAATCACCAAGAGTCTGCTCAACTAGCGCATGCCCTGTTTGCATTTAGGTACACAAATATTGAGTAGAAGAGTATACAAATATATTCATGATCGAGTCAAAGCACTTTTGATTGCTTAAATTCTTTGTAAAAAACAAAATTAAAAGTGCCCGATCGGGCGCTACCCTGTACCTGAGCTGCCTTAACAAGCTTCCCTCTGCACACACATCTGTGGCAATGCTTCTTCTTTCTTCCTTTGCACGCTTTAAGAAATACAGTCTTGAATAACTCTTGTATTTATTAAGCGATATTTATACAACTTTAAGGGATTACGTTTGACTTTAATATGTAGCTATATATCAAAGCTCACGTCTGTATCTTTCAAAATTGAATATACATTTTCACTTATGAGGAGGCACAGAAAATAAATAGAGCATAAAGGAAATTACCAAACACATTTTGTGGATCCAGCTCTTGCAGTTCTCCAGATATGTTTAAAAATTGATTATTATCGATATTAGGAAAATGCGGAACTTATGGGAAACTTCAAGTCATTGCCCCTCACAGCTAAATCGGCGCATTCGAATGCGCGCTGAGTACAGGGTATATGCTGGTCGGGTAGACCCTACAGAAATTTTGTTTATGGCATGCTTGAAATATCACACTTAATAGGAAGTTAGTCAACGTTTATTTAAACAAGTCTAGCATACCCTTTCGTACACACCCAATAATTACAGGGCATACATAAGCGCCGCTAATATAACAACTTGATGGCCAATAATGCTTGTAAATGTCGCTGAACGAGTATCATAAAATTAGTAGCCGTTAATTTGCAGGTAAATAAATCAGAACTTTGCTTTAATAATTTAAATATAAATATAGGCGAGTGACGTGAATGAAATTCATGAGATTAGATGAAAACAAACGAACGAATTTTATGAAATATAAATTATATGTGAAATATGTTTCATAGCCTTGATGCTGCTGCTTTATGATAGCTGACGCATCGTCTGTTTATATATAAGTATGTATATATACAGTGTATATATAGTGTATGTCAAATAGTTGAGCGGTCGCTTCGGCTCATTTGATTGGACAAATTGTTTGGCTAATTTGCACGGCATTTGGCTGAAAGCCGTCGGCACATTTATCATGACGCGTTTACCATTAGAGCGTGCATCAGTGAGAGAGAGAGAGAGAGGGGGGGGGGAGAGAGTGAGGGGCAATGAGATAGAGGGACGTCAGCGTGCAGGCTATTTTTGGAGCCCGGCCACGCGGCGTATGAGTAATGTCTTGATTTGCCAACGGCTTAAGAATTAAATTTATTTATTGCCGCAACTCAACCCAAACCAAACCAAAACCAAACAAAACAAACTCAACTCAACTCAACTGTGGCTATGTTTAATTTTAGATGGCTTGAATTTGCTTTTATTAAATGCAGCAGATTTCATTCTTGTTGTTGTTCTAGTTGTTGTTGTTGTTGTTGTTGTTGTTGTACCATCAACTATTTCTAAATCTTTGCCAGCTATTTTCCAATGGCTTCCTTTTTTTCATTCGTTTGTTTTTTTGCGCAAATGTTTTGGCGCCTGCCTTTGCCATGAAATGTGGGCGCCTTTGCAGCCGCTGCTGATAGCCTCACTGGGGGCATGCTGCATATTGTAGGAGTACCGAGGAAAGCGGGGGTGGGGGTGGGGGTGGCTTGTGGCATGTCTTGCATTTTAATTATGATGAAGTGCTGTTAATGTGCCTTTGATTGGGTCTGCAGCTGGGTGGGCGGGCGTTCCGTAGCCACCATTTGTTGGTTTTCAGTTGATTAGTGGGCAGCTGGCAAAGGTCGAGTGTGTGGCAGGTGAGGCAGCCGCTGAAGCAATGCAATCTATGACTGCAGGCCGAGAGTGGGGTCTGACCTTATGAATGTGAAGCAAAAACTGACTGCTTGAACGGGGCATCGATGCGGTCGGTGCACAAGCCGTGTGCACAGCAAGAATGGAAGACGAAGCGACAGTTTTTGCTCGGGCTACCTTTTTCATTATAAATATCCAGTTAAATATTATGGAATATTTCATTAGAATCTGAAAGAGTTTTCCCTTATTTAATAATACTAATTATTTATATATTTGGTATTATTCTTATTTTTTTATATTATCATTATCTTCATTGTTTTTTTTTTATAAGTATGCCTGGCTTTCGAGCTTGAATCTTTTTTGTTCAGTTGCTGGAATATACAGAACAAATTCCTATTTTATTTTTACCAATCGAATGAACTATTAAAATCTGAGGATTATGTACTCGCTGTAATCGTAGCAAAACATATTTGGAGCAAAATCGAGAAGCATACTGAAGAAATTTTGTACATTTTAATTCATTAAAAACCCCATTTCTATGGCTTTTATTGATTTCTGATCATTCCATTTTACGACTTTTTGTGTGGCATGTTGCAATTGTTAACTAAATGTACTGGTACGCAGTTTTTGCATATATTCCTGCCCCTGCTGCACTCCCAGTGCAAACTCTTTCATGCCTGTCGGATTACATTCGAGTAGTTGAAATCTATGCGGGCTCAACATATCTGAGAGCGCGCAGCGAGGCGTTAGTTGTTATTAGTTGTTGTTAATAGCAATTACACACTCGCACACACAAACACACACACACACATTCGCACACTCATTATGTGCAAAAATGAGGCACATTTTCAGATGCGGCTCACATGGCGCGCGGCAAATGGAAACGCAAAAATTTTCCAATTTTCTCTGGTTTTTTTTTCTCCTGATTTTTCCCTTTGTTGTTGTTTTGTGTAATTGCCGGCAGTTGTTGCTGTTGTTGAGGTCACATTGAACGTCAAAGGCAAAAGTTGGCAGCGTTAATTTCGTTTGCCCATAAACATGCAACATATGTGCGCCTGTGTGTTTGTGTGTGTGCGTTTGCAGCAGGGCAAGGGGCGTGCTGTGTGTGCGCGGAAGGGTCGCCGTGTCCTGCACTGCATTTGCAACCCTAATAAAGCGCAGCGGTTGCTGCCACACGTGGCCAGGCTCTGATAACAGACGCGTTGCCCGCTCACCCGCCAGCCCGCCTGCCTGTCCGTCCGACTGCCCGCCCGGCCGCCTGCCTGCCTGACTGTGCCCCGTGTCCTGCCTCTGGCTAGGACTGTTTGCCTGGACTCCGTGGCGCACTGTGATTTATGCACTAAACAACGGCTCGTCTATGCGCTGCCCGGTTGCGCCCCCTTTTGTGCCACGCAAAAAATGCAATTCTCATCTGATTGTTGTTGCTGCTGCTGCTGCTGTGGCATGTTTGGCATGTGGCATCCACGCGAGACGCGCACAGTACATGCCACTTGCAGCAAGTGCCACAAAAACATTGACACATCGTTTACAAGGCCAGCACAGAAAGAGACAGCGAGCAGCAGAGAAAGAGAAAGAGAGAGAGAGAGCGGGCGAGCGAGGCAGCCAAGAACACGCGAATTTGGGGCCTGCCCCGCCATGGATCGTGCAACATAAATACAAGCAAACAACAACAATAGCAAAAGGAAAACAAGCATTGAAAACACACAAATGAAATATGAAATAGAAACCCGACCCCTCTGCTGGGCGAGTACTTGCCACTGCCCCACCCCCTCCCCCCGCTCCCTGCTGCTGCTGCACCACGCGACTCGAGTCGTTTCTTTTGAAAATGCTTATCAAATTAATTTCGCTTAAATTCGCGTTTATTGTTCGAGCTCAGCGAGTTTCGGAGGGTTAATTGCGAGGGTTTAGCCCGGCCAACAACAAATACTGCCAGCTCGCTCGCACTTACGCGCTCGCTGCCGCTAGTCGCTCTCTTTCTAAGGCTGACTTTCCAGGATTGATTGCATGCTCCTTGTTTAGTTGTTGCTGGGCCAAAGGTAAGGACTCGCTGGCCTGCGAGGGTTGGCCCAAGAGTTGCAAATTGATTGAAAACGCTCGCGTTTATGCGCTCTACACGTGTCCCGAACTGTTCAATTATGTCTAAGCCAAATCCGCAGCACAAATGCGACCCTGCCCGAGGGGGGGTTTTGCGCTTATGCAACGTTTCATCACAATGAAAAAAAAAGAAGAAGAAAAGCTAAAGTACAAATCCCAAAAAGAGCAGCGCTCCGTTTACCTCCCCCCCCCCCCCCCCACTTGCCACCCTGCTGTTGCCCTGTCGCAAGCCCGCCCGCAACATTCGAAATGCCATCACCAATTTTAAGACCAAAACTAAACACACGCGACTGGCAACTGGCGACTGGCGACTGGCGACGTCGTCGGGTTTGAAATTGAGTCGTTTAAGCCGTGCCCCCTGCCCCAAGCAACCCGCCAGCCAAGCAACCCCACGGCCAAACTCCATCAATTGCAACTCGCAGCCCGCCCACACTCTGTGCCTCTGAAAATCCCAAGACTAAACGCAGTGGAAAACTGTTTGGCAACCAATTTTTAAATCGTCAGAAAACACGAAATTCACAAATTGAAATATTACAGCGAAATTGTTTGAGCACAATTTTCATAGAAAATATTTTTCGAAATCATTAAATCTCAAATAAAAACAGGGAAGGATTTAAACATGAACTGATTTTTTTTAATAAAAAAAATAATTAAAATTTGTTGGCAATATTCCGAAAATATTCAGAATGAAAATAATGCTAAATTTGAAGGGTCTATTATTTACAAAATAATATGCAAATTTATAAAAGAACAAAAAATATACATAAACTATTTTAGCCAGCATTTGATATTTAACATAAAAAATATCCTTTAAATTTTCACCAACAAAATTTAAATACAAATTTCAAAATTAATAAAACAAAAAAATCAGCCAATAAACGAATTAAAAATGGAAAGTTTGCCAAAACCAGCAATAAATTAAAAAAATATATATATATGTATATATTAATTTTTCCCAGTTTCAAATTGCTTTTGATACTTGAAAAAATAAAAAATCTTCAAAAGTTTCAACTGAATGTTTATAAATAAACATAATATTCCAATATTTATTTGATTTATTCCTTTAATATTTAGATTATTTTTGAGATGTTTTTCATTTAAAAAATATTGAAAACATCTCGAAATTGAATCTTATTATTAAAGAACTAAATCATATAAATTTGTTGTATATATATAAATAATATATATACTTGCATATAGATGGGAAGAGGCTCTGAAGAACCCGCAAAATTAACCTAATAATCCTTGAGCTACTAACGTACCTCTAAAATTCTTAATATCACTCAAAATATATTCGTGCAATATATATATTATATAATAAACAAATATGTTTATATTTAGTAGCTGAGGAATTTCAGATAATTTATTTAAGTTCATAGAACTCAAAAAAGATGCAATTAATTATTTTTAAATAAGAAATTGTTTACAAATTTTTGAAAGTTAAAGAAGAGTTTTCAAAAATTGTAAAGAAATTTTAATTTAAAAATAAATGCATCCAAATCACAGAATTCAAGAAGAAGAAAAAAAGCATAATCCACTGAATTAAGCCAAAACAAATCCCCCCCAAATAAGCCGATCATAACTTAATTTAAGTATAGCTCAACGAAAGTTAAATGAAGTTAATAGTTTCCGAAATGCACATGATAGTTGTAATACAAGATTTAGGAGCTGATTTCTCTGAGTGTACTCACTTTTGCACTCGTTGGCATCCCGCGCGGTGGCTCGTCCCCAGGGCCGGTCGAAGTAGAAGGGTTTGCAGCGGTCGCAGTCGCGTCCGGCCGTATTGTGGCGGCACTCGCAGCTCAGCTGCCCGTTGGAGTCCTGCGAGCACTTGGAGGCGTGGCCGTTGCACTTGCAGCGCCCGCCCACGGAAAAGTCGGAGATGGCATAGTGGAGTCCGGCTGCGCCGGCGGCGGCGGTAACGGAAAGCGTCTGCGTATGGGAGGCATTGGACTCGATATTGTTGCCCGCCAGCTGAACGCTGTATTTGCCGGTGCGCAGATCTGTGGGGGCATCAATGGCCAGCAGCGCCTGGGGATCGGGCTGCTGCAGCCGATAGAAGACAATGCGTATATCGGTGGCCGTCACCCAGTCCTGCAGCACGGGCGAGGCGTCCAGGTCCCGGGCCGAGGGTCGGCCCTCCAGCGTGCTGAAGGCAATGCGCGATGCCATGCCCCCGTTGCCATCATGGCCATGTCGATGGGCGTCACTGCAGCGCGCCTCCTGCTCGTTGTGCTTGGTGACGGTGGTGCGGGTGGGCCGCCTAAACAGGCGGCGGCACTGCGAGCTGTAATACTGGAACGGCTGCCAGGTCTGGCCAAAGTCGGAGCTCTTGAAGATGACCAGCGAGTCGGGGCGCGGTGCACGCGGGCAGAACTGCAAGCTCACATAGGTCAGCTCGTACTTTTTGCCCAGCGACAGGGTCAAGGTGACATTGTCGCCCCAGGAGGTGGCTAATCCGCTGCCGGCATAGCTGGCGCCTGGCGCGATCGGGGCTGAGCGCCAGCAGGTCACATTGTTGGGATTGTTCAGATCGGTGAGGGCGCGCGGCGGAAAGCTATTTGCCTCGCAGCTGTGGCACTGCAGCTCACTGCCGCCGGCTCGGCTCTGATCCTGGTACTCGCAGTAGCGCTGCGGCTGCTGCTCGCCGCAGCTGCTGCTGGCCGTGACGGGCGCATCGTAGGCGGCGTTCACAAAGTCCGGTATGCAGGCGCGCGCCTTGTCCTCATCGTAGCAGGGATCCTCCGCCGGCGGCGAGGCGAACATTTTGAGGTACGCATCGTTGGGCTTGGCCAGCGCCGAGCACGCGCCCAGGGTCAATAGAAACAGTTGCCAGCGTTGCATGGCGCAGTTCACACACTTTCACTAGCACAAGTCACCCGAAAAAAAATACGTAACTGTTGTTTTGTTGCAAATCGCAAGTTGCAACTACACAGATTTGTTGCGATTATCGCTGCCAGGAGGCGGCGTCCTGAGCAGCGCGCGCAAGCGTTTCTAGGCTCTTTTTAGGTGAGTTCCGCGAGTCGCGTAGACGGAACAGAGTTCGTCGGTGGGTCGCTCGGACGTTCGGTCGCTGGGTCGCTTGGTCGCTTGGTCTTCGGTTAACGTCAAGTCGGCCTGCCAGTTCACAGTCGACTGTTAATCGTCGTGCACGAAGCGCGCGCGCCAGCCCACGAAGTCAGCGACTGTTTGTGTGTGTGTGAGTGTGTGTGTGTGTGTGCGCGCGTTTGATCGCGTCTGCCTTTGTGTGTTCAGCAACATACATATGTTGCCAAGAGCGAACAGCATCAGCTCAGCATCCACATTGTTGCTGCTGCTATTTTTACTTTACTCACCACAGCATGCGCTCTCTTTGGCTCGCTTGCTCTCTCGCACTCGCACTCCCGCTCGCTATGTCTCACTGTGTTTGCGCTGCGCAGTTGCTGGCGCTTGGCAACATTGCTGCTTGCAGGTGGTTGCTGTTGCTAAAGCAACATTTGTTGCTACTACTTTTGCATGCCTTTGCATCTATTTTATGGCCCACTTGGCGACACATTTTGTGGCAGGCGGCTGCTGCTGCTGTTGCTGTTGCTGCTGTTACTGTTGATGGTTGTTTGTTGTTTTTGCGACCATCAAATCGCGTCCAGCCGCCGACCGCACTGCAAATCAAAACAACGCCAAACGCTGCCTGCTGCGGGGCATGCGGCACAGGAGGCGTCGCTTATGTCTTCTGTTTGCCTCTCGATTGCTATCGGATAATGAAGTCGCCAAACGGCTGCAGCCTAAGTTATTAACTTGTCGTTAATGAAAATCATCAATTTCGAACAAAACACAACAGGGCGACAGGCAGTTCGAGTGTGTTGAATTGGTGAGGAGCGTTACGGGAAGGGGGAGATGGGGTGGGGGGGGGGGGGGTGCATAATTACGAGATGCGTGTGTGCGATGGCTTCATTAATGCCGCCGTTGTCTTCTCTGCCGCAACCGCTGCTCCAGCCGTCGCGCTGCCTGCGGCTCACTGATAAGCGTTTCACTTTCGCATGGCAGCAGCCGCCCCTCCTCTCCCCTCGCCCCTCGCGCTACACGCAACCACGACCATTGTTTGCCTTTGCATTGTAATTAGCTGGCTTTGCTGCATTTGGGCGTAGGCGTGCACGTGGGCGTGGCATTGACCGCCACAATCGAAGCAAGCGCTAATTGTTCAAATTCTCACGTTATGCAACATAAAAATTCATTGACGAAAATAATCAAGCACCGCTTCAAAAAATGCTGCAATTAAATGTTATCGAAATAATCGAAAGAGCCCTAAAAATAATTCGCAGCACAAATAACAAGCTAGCTCAATGCTGTTTATTTAGGGGGGAACGCTGGGGATGTCCAATAAGTAAAATATTGTAGATATGTATGTGTGTACCATACAAGATTCATACAAAATTTGCGCCAGATATACTCAGAAACAGAATTTCGACTTCGATTTTTCTTATCGATTTAATAGAAAGAATCTAATCTAATCGATAATTGCAAAACAACAATCAATCGGCGCGGGTAACAGTAGAGCCAACGTTTGAATTCCTCTTCAAATTATAGAGATCGACGCGTTCACACATACGGACGGACGGACGGACCGATAAAGGCTGAGACATCAGCTGCTGTCAAGAATATATATATATATATATATATATATGTACTTTATATAAGAATCAGCACACTGAGTTTGGCGGACCTAGCGCTAATAACTTTAAAGATTGGCTAAAGAGCAAAAAAAAAGGAGTTCAATGTTTATATTTATCGATTTTAGAAAATCAATCGCTATCGATACTTTGAAATAAATTGATTGAGAGCCCACTCTGCAAAACTTTGTATCCCTCGGGCTTAAAGTAACATGGAACATACATAGCTAGATCGATGCGGCTGTTGATGCTGAACAGGGAAATATATATGTAGATATGTTAAAATGGATTCGGATATGCCTGCCTCTGTCTGTTGCACACATTCATAGAAACAGAGTATGCAGACTTATTTTGTGCATTGTTGAACTTGCATAAGTATCGATGCATAAGTATCGACAACACTTTATTATCTCTCTGGCTCTTTCTTCGGCTAATTTACTAAAATTGATGTCGCCCATTAGATGGCTTATTATTTGAGCTCGGAGGAGGCATGTCATTTGTTTTCAGTTGCACAGGGCAGCCCACGCACACACACACACACACACGCACACACACACACAGACGCGCACAGACTGGGGTAAGGCGAGCTCATTTCCGCTTCCTTTGTTGTGGGTCAGCTTCCTCAATGGAGCTCAGAGGCTTGGTTCTCATATGTGTGGGCTCATCTTGTATCAGGAACTTTTGCGTTATTACCTTGGCGCCAGTGGGCGTGGTCGGTGTGTGTGTGTGTGTGTGCGCGTGTGTGTACGTGTGTGTCACAGCTGCAAACTCTTGCTGAGCCCGATCGCAACTTTGGCGCTTAATGAGAATTGCATTGTGTGTCTCTGTGTGGATTTCGGATTTTGATTTCGAGTGGCCAGCACAAAGGCGAGCGCCTCGTGCTGGGGGCCAGGAGTAAAGTCCAAGCGGCTTTCTGTTTGCTTTGTTGTTGTTTTGTTTGTTTGTTAGTTGTTTTGTTTGCTTGTCTCGTGGCTGGACGGCGGCAAGATTTTTAGATTATGACGCTTTGGCCAACAGGCCCCACCAGCTGCGGCGACGGGACAAACATTTAGTTGGACGCAGCTCATCTTGTTGCGTCTCCACTTTGTTTATTGTGCGCTGTCTCCCTCTCTGCCTCTCTGCCTGTCTGTCTCTCTCTTTCTCGCCTGCGGCGCGCTCTCTTTCATTTTATTGGCGACATCAATAAAATGCGACATTGAACCAAGTTGCCCGCCCCGCAAGCCCCCCACCCCCACCTGGACGCCACACTTGTATATTCACACGGATGTAGCTCACAGGTAAAACGGCTAAAAGCACTATAAAATCCTCTGCCCCTTTACCCTGCGCCCGCCCACCTTTCCTGAGAACGGGTCAGTTTTTTGGTCAATGTTTATCTCAACATTTTGTTTGTCTTTTCTCAAAAGGTTGTTGTTGTTGCTGCAATTGTATCTCGATTTTATTGCTAGAGCTGTGAACATGTGAAAGGCATTTGCCGGCCCAAAGATGAGAGTGCGAGCGAGCGAGGTAGAGAGGGGGCGAGAGAGAGAGAGAGACCGGATTGGGCCAATGCATACATATATACCCGAGCCACCCTCGCCGGCGGCCCAGCGGGCGCAGTGCAACTAAAACGCACAGATAGATGGCTAGATTCCTATCAGCGTCAATAAATAAAGTTTTTAAATGGAACAGGAAAATAAATATATGTCTCCGAGTGTCTCCTTGTTGTCACTGTGCACATCCAGACGCCCTGGCAGCGCGTCTATGCCGCCGCACAGTGGGCCAATCATGCGAATTTGTCGGCTAAATTTGCAATTGCAATCAGATAAAATGCAAGGATAACCTTTACTAAACAGTGAAAAAAACCAAATTGCAATTTACATGAGAAAAACTAATTTATCGTTAATTATTATCGACTTATTGTTAGCAGCAATTGTCAATCGATTTAATTTTGTTATTCATAATATTAGCAATCGATACAAATCAGTCGATTAATGTCTATCGAAAATCACTCACAAGCAATCCGTCAATTTTCTATTAATCCATAAGATTGATAAATATGATATTATCGATTAGCTTATCGATCTTCCGCTTGTCGATACTTATCGATATCAATCAGTCGTTAACCGGCACTTGGCGATTATAGAAATTCACTCGCATGCTATTTCATCAGTTGATTATCTATTGATCTATATAATCGATTAATACGATATTTTACCTGCTTCGCTGATCGATTATTCGTTTGTCGATAATTATAATATTAATTACGATCTATATAATCGATAAATACGATATTGTAACTGCTACGTTTATCGATCATTCCACTGTGCAACTCCATTTCGGACTCACATTTAGTATTTTTTTTTGTTTTTTACCAGCTTCTTTCATATTGAAAAAGTTTTTCGAGTGTCTATCGCTGTGTCTCTTGCCCTGCCTCCGCCTGCTTCCTCACCCCTCTCGCTGGGTCCTGCCTCTCTGTGGACTGTCTGTTTGCCAGTTTTGTTTGTTGCTGCAACGCTTTGTCTCTTGTCTTGTGCAATATGCGTTGTGTCTTGGCTGGCTGGCTGCCTCGGGCCTGGGCGGGCGCGTACCTAAAATAAGGCTGCAACTGAGACTCATGCGGCATCGATTGCAGGCATCGATGCACACATACATATGCACATGCAGCTACTTACATTGATTTTATAATTAGCCGTGTCAGCAGCCAGCAGCCAGCAGCCAAACAGCCAGGCAGATGGCCAGGAAGGAAGGAAGTAAGCTGGCATCGAATTCAAAGTCAACTCGTGGCCATAAAAACAGCCAATTACCTTCAAGACTCATTAAGTACTACAGCCATTCTAGCCCGCAGTCACTGGCAGCTGAAAAGGGTGCTCTGTGTGGGCGTGGGGGCGTGGGGGCGTGGTTGGGCGGCATGCCAAAGGGCTGCTTCTGTTAGCTGACCGTTACAATCGAATTAGGCGCCGCTCGCAACGTTAAATGCAATTAAAACTAGAAGATGTTGATTACATTAGAAGTGCAGGCAGTCAGGCCGAACTGTTCAGTGTGAGGGAGAGGTGTGAGGTGGGAGGTGGGTGGTGCGGGGGGGTGGCGGTTGGTGTCGAAAGAGTGTGACCAGTGCTGCCACAGAATTTCAAACCCATTTCCCTGGTTGTAGCCGACTTTCCCTTGCTGTTGTTTTTGTTCACGCCTTTGGCTACCGCAGCTTTTTGTTCATAATGTATCCTTTTTTTTTCTGGCAGCCCTTCCTCTGGCCTTTTTTTCGCCTTGCAAGAAAAAGCGGTCGAAAATTGTTGCGGTTGACCAGAATTTTTTTTTTAACTCGCAAAAAATACAACGTGAAAAGCCAGAGGAAAGGGCGAAAACTTTGTCAACGTCCTGCTTGGGTGGATAGCGGAGACAGCAGGACGCAGGCGATCTGATTATGTCAAAAAAATAGCCAGGCAGCCATCAGTCATGTGTGTGTGTGTGTGTGTGTGTCGCTTCGTTGCCTGG